TTTAAATTTCGGGGAAAGTGCAGAGTAGTTGACATTTTAAACAATTTCCTATCAAAATCAAAATGTACAAGGAAAACTAAGGCCCTAGTTAATATTAATTAAATAGTAGTAATTGTGCAAAGCGTTCGATATCGATAGCGTTAAGTATTTACATAGCAGACTGAAAATACTTACGTTTAAATATCAACTTTACAAAAACCAGTCTGCACTTACTCCACTTCGCCTTAAATAACTTATTAAGATAGTAATGCGATACCTTGGTAACTGTTGAATTTGATCAGAAATATTTTCCATCATACTTTTCACTGGTGGTAATATTGCAGAGTAAGGAGTAATATTACACGTTAAATTACATTTTGGTTTATTTAAGTGACGTCCCGTGTCTTCGACAAGATACTTTACATTATCTAATGAAATTTGAAGTCCCTGTATTTGTGTACCAACACGGTTGACCTACAATACATTCTAATTCAATGTGCTTTTCTTATAAATTATGGAGATAGTGGAGTAATAAGTTAATTCTGAAGTGACATTGGGGGTCTGATACAACAAAATTAGGAAACACAAATTTGCTTACTGTACATTTATAGAAGAGAGTCAAGAAAAGGAAATTTTAATCAAAAATGCAAATTCGTTATTTCAAGAATTAAAGACGAAGAAGAGATATTTCTTAGAGCTTTTTACCTTGAATTACTTTCAACGTAAAAAGTAAATGAATTTTGTAATTTGAATACGTATCTGCATAATTATACACAGAATTTTATTTGAAAAGTGTAGTTAGGATTGTTCTTAGATGTCTCTCTTGCGAAATATGTGATTTTTTTAGATTTTTATGGATATGATAATTTGAGAATGGGTAAAGAATTTGAGAACATAAGACTTTAGGGATCTAAGGATTTGGAGATTAACAGGTAATCTTGGAATCTAGAATCTAAAAATTAATTCTAGTAATCAAGAAACCTAGGGATCCAGGTACATAGGGAGCGCGGAATTAGATTTATGGATGTACATGGATATATGTAGAAATCCAGTTGATGGATTAGATTTTTTGGGAGTCATAGACTTGGGCCCTGGTGATTTGCAGTGTGTGGCCTGACGAGTGATACAATCGAACAAGGGATGATTTTCCATATAAAACCTTCACGATCGCCGATCATGTCGACAAAGTTATAAGGTTTCGCCCCACAAATCCAATATCGTGCTCGAGTTGTGAGTGTGATAAGACATTAGATTGTCAGCGTATGATGGCTGTGGGACCTTCACGATGGACGTTCAGACCAACGAAGGGGTTAAAGCTTCGTCCCAGACATACAAAATGTATTATCGTGCCTTGATGACAATGTTCATCGAATGATAATGGATATCACGCGAATCTCTGAGACGATGGTTCGTCAAGTGAATTGGTATCCAGGAGAGATTCGTATCAAGATTGAACGAGTTGCTCAAAAAGGAAGACTTGTGAACATTGGAAGGGAAGGTCGAAGATGTCTACCATAGAAAACCAATCAGGGTCAGCCCGTAATTTGTAGAAACACTGATTGGTGACACGACTGAGCGAATGGGATGACGAGATCTTTTGCCCTCAATGAGTGGTCCTAACAATAAGTGTTGATGATAGATGTAGGTGACCCAAGCGCTTGAGTGATTTGGATCCTTTAATGGATCTCATGGCACACTGCAAGGCTACTGAATAGTTGAGCTTGAATGCATTTACCAGTCTAGTTCAGGGGTCGGCAACCTGCGGCTCGCGAGCCACATACGGCTCTTTGGATGTAAAACTGCGGCTCTTTAGTTCTATACGCAAATATTATTTATTTTATCAAAAAAAAAAACAAAAAAACATTTAAAAATCATTCTGAATCGATTAACGAAGATTAGGCACCGATTCTATCTTTCAGCCACTTGTACTCGCTCTTCACCGCACCCCTCCCCCGTGACACGCGTCGACACTGTCGTTAGTCCGTCGGAAGCTCTTGAATGACGCCGTTGTCGGATGTTTTTCTTATGAATAAATAGATTAGTTTTTTTTTTTATCAAAAAACTTTATTTATGCGAGTACTATTTATTGTTGGAAAGAAAAAATTTTGAGGCCCTTTAAAAACTTTGAAATTTTGTAAATTGTAATTTTTGACTCTTCCGACTCAAAAGGTTGCCGACCCCTGGTCTAGTTGACATGAATTTCGTAAGCACTGTATCATGTATCCTGTTTCGTTTTAGTGTCCATAGTTTTTGAGAAAATCGAATTTAAAAAGAAAGTACAAATTTCCAAATTTAAGAATATTTTGTCGATTTACAATAACCGTTAGTATTTTTTTTTATACTCTAATTGTAAGTAAGTCGAATGATACAAATTGTTATTACATTATGAACATTTAAATCTGTTAAAATAACGTCGAAATTGAAATGAATATCTAGAGACCTCAGTTCTTGCTAATGTTTTGCAATTTATGTTTGAAAACTGTTATTAATTTTTATCATAATTGAAAAATATTAGCAAAGACCAACGTGTTTTGGGTATATTTAAATATTTACAATACAATCAAAATTTGTATCATTCTCTTCGGGATTGTTTACAGAATAATAAAAGTAGCTGGCTACCTGTTATTGTAAATCCACAAAACATCCTCAAAATTGAGAATCGAAAATTTGTATTTAATTTCAATTTTCTGAAAATCTACAAACACTAAAAAGAATCAGTTTACAACTGCATATCCAGCATATAAAGATCTATAAGAACCGCTTATTGGAAATTTTTAAATAAAAGAATGTGTGAAATAGTTCTTTTAGGTGCACGATTTTGTCTATCAAAACATTTCGTATACATCAGCATACGTATCCATCCATGTGTCAAATATTTGATAAAATTTAATTTCTTTTTCAAATGGATAATAATAGAGTGCATTTATATTTATACAGTGTATTTATGCAGTGCATTTTTTAGTTAAAACTAGCAAACGAATGATGTATGATTTTAGCAGTGGTTCACTCTAGGTATATCATTATGTGTGTACTTACACGGTCAGTTAGAGCCTTTATTATGCTTGCTTGATTGACTGCCATATCTTTCAGTTGTGCTATTTCGGGTTTTACAGTATCATGAATTAACCTTTGTCTTGTGAACAGTGGTTCTGTGGTATTTAAATACAAAGAATTAAAAGATAATGTGTTTTCGATTTGTGACAATTTTGCAAAGAACGTGTGGTTTATCCGGTATAATTTATTTTCAAGATATATTAGTTTCCCGTTTAACTGATTTTTTGTTCCTTCCAAATTAGAAGTAATTTTTTCCACGTCTCTTTTTGCATTCTCGTTTCTCTGATTCAATAAAAAACATATTACGATATTATAGTACATTCATGCATGCTTTCAAATTTGAACAGTGTATAGTATTTCAGTGGATAATATGAAACATAATTTTATACAATAATTATTAACAAGTGAAATTATTTAAAAGTGCCAATAGGTATCTGTAGAGATTATTAATGTAATACCTGAGAAATTAATTGTTCAATTCTGCTCGTTCTGGCATTGATGTGGAATATGTCTGTTTTGATCTTTGCAATTGATGATATATTTTTTGACAACTCTAGGATCATGTTCGTTAGGCGAGCTACCTGATAATCATGTCTTGGAGCGAATGGCGTGACGTGTTGAGTATGCTCGGGCCTAAAATTAAATTGGATATATTAATTAAATAATCGTATATGAATGCGATAATGTTGCTAGAGAAGGAAGGAGTTGCAGACATATGCAGTACATGCATATACATATGTACATGTATGTTTATTTTGATATTATGTGTCAAATATTTCTACCATTCAATTATACTTGGTATTTTTGATCCAGTTTTGTAATAAACTATAACTTACCAGAATTTGTTCTGATCAGCACTTATAGAGAATATGTATAAAAGCAGTATTACCATGAACTTCATTTTGCAGTGTTATAAATATACAGGAGACAATATCTGAAATAAACGAGATTTATATTTATACATAATTCTTTCTAAGTGTACATAGGGACAATAAATGTCCTGCACTAACAAGAAATATCGGGAATTGTATTTTGAAAGTCGCGTGTCAAGTCACAGCGTATATAAGTAGGTTTTTATAGTTTTCGTCCGCCATATTGGATCCGCCATATTGAATTTAGATTTCAGGTTTGTATTGAGCAACGTAAAAAACCGATATATTAAAAAGATCGAATAGTTAAAAAATATAGTTTGACAAGGTGTTTCGTACGTAGTATCAAACGAGCGCGGCAATTTAGGAGTTGTTTACCCCCCAAATATTTATATAAAAAAAATAGTTGTTCCCTAATTATCTTTCCTCTTGAAGTTTTAATAGGGTCTACTTCGATCAGATCAAAACTGATTTTTTGCAGCAAGGAATTGGTCACTTTAGAAGTACTTCACCCCCTAATTTTCACTCCCCTTTCAATATACCTAGGCCAGAAGTCGGCAACCTTTTGAGTCGGAAGAGTCAAAAATTACAATTTACAAAAGTTCAAAGTTTTTAAAGAGCCACAAAATTTTTTCTTGCCAACAATAAATAGTACTCGCATAAATAAAGTTTTTTGATAAAAAAAAACTAATCTATTTATTCATAAGAAAAAATATCTATTTATTCATATAAGTAGTGTTTTTCACAACAAATTAGATAATATATATATGGCATTATTAGATAATTACTTATTATTTAAGTAAAAAATTAAAACAATTAAACATTTACTTACAACACTAACAGTTGACGACAGCGACGACGCGTGTCACAGGGGAGGGGTGCGGTGAAAAGCGAGTACAAGTGGTTGAGAGATAAAATCGGTGCTTAATCCTCGTTAATCGATTAAGAATGATTTTTAAATGTTTTTTTTTTGATAAAATAAATAATATTTGCGTATGGAACTAAAGAGCCGCAGCTTCACATCCAAAGAGCCGCATGTGGCTCGCGAGCCGCAGGGTGCCGACCCCCCGCAGGTTGCCGACCTCTGACCTAGGCCGATTTTTGTCTTCTATCGAGAGATACTTTCATACCAAAAATCATCAAAATTGCTTCACTGGTCTCAAAGATATCGCAATTTTTCATTTTTACGCTCATATTTTGGAAGATTGTTTCATACACTAAATATGTTTTTCCGCAGATAAAAAAAATACGCGTTCCTTAATTTTCCATATAAGGTGAAGTGGGGTAAGTGCAGACTGGTTTTTGTAAAGTTGGTATTTAAACGTTAATATTTTCAATCTGCTATGTAAATACTTAACGCTGTCGATATCAAATGCTTTACACAATTACTATTATTTAATTAATATTAACTAGGACCTTAATTTTCCTTGTACATTTTGATTTTGATAGGAAATTGTTTAAAATGTCAACTACTCTGCACTTTCTCCGAAAATGGGGTAAGAGCGTAACTTGAAGTTAAATACTTTGAAACTTTATTTCATGTGCAATGGGGCAAGAGCAGAATTATTAACAAATCTGCTAGAAAATGCTTTTTACTGCATTATGTAAGTACTCTATACTGCAAACAAGTACTCTTAGCTGAAATATAAAAGGGGATATAGTGAAGCAAAACAAGGAAACAAAAATACTAAATGGAGAAATTTCGCTCATATTGTAATAAAAATAGCCTGTATACGCACTTGCCACGTTTACGAATTTACTTCACTTCACCTTACTATAACATATCCAAATTTTAGAAAAATTAGAGAGTGACATTTCTGTAGGTTTACTTGTTAGTAATATATTCTTACAATCAGTGAATTTGGAACAAAGATAAGCTGAATAGTTATAATTGAACTATGCATAATGAATCAAGTTTCTCTCACCTCTTGAAGCATATGCTCAAGGTTATTATTCTGTTTAACTCTTTCTTATAGATATATGTATAGAGTGCTATATTTTAGTTCTCTATTTCTGCAAAAATTGTTATAGCGAAATGTAAACAATACAAAAAATATGTAACATTCTTAGACTGAACTGAAAATTAAAAGGGGGTAAAGTCAGATTAGATTTTATAAATAAATATACAGAAATTTTCTTTCTTTTAAGAGATAATAAAAAGGGACAGGTTATGTAGGAATACCTTTTTTAACAAATAATTCAAAAATAAGGTATAGAAATCTCATTGCTGTTAGTTTTCTGATTAAAATTTTAGTACATTCATGTTTATATTTGTTCACAGAAATTAATAATTTTAATTTGGTTAATTTTGTAAAATATAAAATACAGAATGAAGGATCACAAAAAACACCAAACATACTGTTGTACATTATATAAAAACTGTAACAAACCACCGTATATAAGAAAAATATAAACAAAAGTAGGTATAATAGAAACAAGTATGTGTAGTAAGAAAAGTACGTATGTATACGAAATAGCAACATCCACAACCGAGCATATGTGTCAATGAATATACATCTGAATGATTCACCTAAGTATGTTGTAATAGACGTAAACTATTTATTTAAACTATTATATGACAGTCGCTTTTAATTATGTAGGTGTACGAATAATAATACGAATCATAGATGTTATTGAAATTGTACATTTTGTTTTAAACATTTGCCAAAATACGGTTTCTTCTTTACATAAAAGTAAGCAGTGACACTAAAGGAATATTGTAATGTGTTACAATGTCAGTACCTTTAAACAGTGCAATTTTCAGCCAAAATTAGATGCTCTCGGTGTACGAATTCGACTGGGAATAACTTGTTGCGTTACTGTAAATTTCAAGAAGTAATATGCAAAATAGGAACACTATCGTCAAACCAGTAACAAGACATTAAATTCATTTATAAACACCTTTATTTCACAGCAAGTAATGTTACAATACTACAACTTTAAGCTTGTAATGATACGACTGACACATGGGAAAATAATATTCAACTGTTTTCTTGACTTTTATGGTAGGTCTACTTATACTATGGTTTATCGCAGAGATTCGGAGTGCGTCACACGAGTAGCGTTGCGGATATGTGGTTACCATGTTAATTGGTACCAATTTGAAAATGCACTCTGTGAGTAGAGTTTTACGTGCAGGAATTAAAAAGGAATTCGAATCTCCATATTTGGAAAATACCAAGACTTATACATTTTATATTAATATGTCGCCAAATTACTAAATTTTTAATTTTTAATTTTTTGGACTTATTCATTTTCTAATTCTTAAATTCTTAAATTTCAGAATCTTCAAATCTTTAAACTCTACAATTTTTAAAAATATAAATATATAAATTCTTAAATTCGCACATGTTAAAATCTCTAAACCCTCAAACTTCAAAAGTTTAAAATTTCTGAGTTCCAAAGATTATAGTTACTAATATCATTTTCATATTTTCAAGCTTTCAAATTTTCTCATATTCAAAAATTCTAAAATTTCTAAATTTTGAGATCATGAGATTTCCAAATCCTTGAGCTCTCAAATGCCCAAATTCCCAAATCCGAAATCCCGAAGTTTCCAATCTCCCAATACCTAAATCTCCAAATATCCAAACCCTCAAATCTCTAAATTTCCGTATGTACTAAATTCTCAGATATCCAAATTCCTCAAATTCAAAGTCACCAAGTTTCAAATCCCATTGTTTTTAAATTCTCGAGAAGAAACATGTTAGTAGGGAACCTTACAATTCATTAATCACGTCATGATTGGTTTTATCTCAGCAGTTCAGAGTTCAGCATTTTAAGGAAAGTCTAATAATTATATTTCCGTTTTATAAATTCGCTGAAGGTGATTTACTTAACAGAAAAAAACAAACGATAATTGGGTGACATAAATAACATTTTGCGATTATTATTACATGGCTAATACTTGCTATTATTCGTAATAATCTAACGTGTCCACATAGAAACATAGATATATGCATTAAAGAGGTACTTGAAAACTTTTAAAACATTGTTTGGCCATCATAATATTTGGTTCTCTTTATTAAGAAACCAGTTGATTTAAAATTTCGTTACTTCTCGTAATATTTTATATGTTAAACGCTCATTAATATTTTCAAAGACAAATCCGCGCACCAGATTCTCAATAAAAGATATAGCCGAATAAGGGGTCAAAAGTACCTTTAGACTAAATTAATCAATGAACATATCAGCTAACAGACCGTACTATGTATTACTTAAAAGGTAGTTACAGGGCGAAGCGCAATTTATAGTTTAAGCTTTAAGGTGAAGTGGAGTAAGTTCGTAAACGGGGCAAGTGCGTATACAGGCTATTTTTATTACAATATGAGTGAAATTTCTCCATTTAGTATTTTTGTTTCCTTGTTTTGCTTCACTATATCCCCTTTTATATATCAGCTAAGAGTACTTGTTTGCAGTATAGAGTATTTGCATAATGCAGTAAAAAGCATTTTATAGCAGATTTCTTAATAATTCCGCTCTTGCCCCATTGCACATGAAATAAAGTTTTAAAGTATTTTTAACTTCAATTTAAGCTCTTACCTCATTTTCGGGGAAAGTGCAGAGTAGTTGACATTTTACACAATTTCCTACCAAAATCAAAATGTACAAGGAAAATTAAGGTCCTACTTAATATTAATTAAATAGTAGTAATTGTGCAAAGCGTTCGATATCGACAGTGTTAAGTATTTACATAGCAGACTGAAAGTACTTATGTACGTTTGAATACCAATTTTATAACAACCAGTCTGCACTTGTCTCACTTCACCTTATATCTTTTGTTGTGCCGCACGGAAAATTTTTTAAAAAATCAGGGATATTCTGCTCTATGGCATACTTGTTTATGAATTTTTCCAGAATTTTTAAGCACAAAATGAATTTTAAAAAGATCCTAAAAGTTTATGAAGTAAAATTATAAAGTACTTTTTTTATTTCATCAATTTGTTTTATAATATCAAATATTTTAATACATTCTCCTTTGCACTTTTTTAATGAGGAGCATGGGGAGTTTAAATTGTTGCGTACGCCGATGATTTTTTTATTGCTTGGAGTTGGATATTCAAGAATAGTCGAAGACCACCGCAAAGAGGGAATTTAGTCTTGCTTAGCTTTCCCATTTACCAGAGTTTACTTATTAGGCTTCGCTCGAGAACATCTAACGTTTTTGGACCAACGCGATGAAAATTCGTTAGACGAAAACGTCGCGTTGATTTATTCCCACCGTTTCCACCACTACTCGTTTTCTACCCATTGTCTTGGATATAAAAAGGCTCGTGGAGAAGACGCTTTGGACCCAGTAGATTTTTAAACGTCGTTTAACGCGGAACATCTGTTCGTGGACCCATTTCATTTTTGTACGTCGACTAACGTGGAACCTCTGTCCGAGCACCGTTAGAGTCATCGCGTTGAATCAAAACCAAGTCATTTCGAGCAAGATCGGGTTAAAATCCCCTTCAAGCATTAATTACCATACAGTACGTATAGTTTACTGTTAGGCATTTTTCTAAAGTACTTTTGGGTCCCCGTTTCGCTTGTTCTTCTTTAAAATTAGGCAGGATTAGATTCTCGTTTTGTCGGAGTCGAAACTATTCAAACTCAAGTTAAAAGTCAAATTAAGATCAATTCTTGTAGCATTACCTTAACCGACAAATACACTAGAACATTTGTAATACCGGTTTTGGGAAGAATATATTTGTAATCTTTTATTTCAAACGTAATTCTGCTTTTGTTAATTATAACCAAAGTCCCAACAAGCCATCAGTTGATATATCTTAGCCGCTCGAGGTATACTGACATATCTTTGTTACGGGCACAAATACTAACATTTCCTGTGACACCCGGCGTTAGCCATACGTCGCACAGTGGTCCCAAATTGCTAAAACCTGACCAAAATATGAAGGCGTTCTCCAATTTAAGTGAAAATTCGTACCTAGGGGTTTTCGAGCTCGGCGATTACAAATCAAAAGTCAAAATTACAAAAAACAAAATGGCGGATCTGACGTGGTAAATATATGTACGGAAAAGGTGTAAAAATTGGCTGAAGTTTACTGTATAGGAGTATTTAATGTTATTGATTACAAAGCAGAAGTCAATGTTTAAAAAAAACAAAATGGTGAATTCGATATGAGTGTTGTGCATAATGAAAAATTGTTTGTACTTTTCGAAAAAAACGATAATGATATTTTCGAATCGCTAAATCGGTATTAAAGCTCCAAATATTCTAAATAAAAACTAAAATTATAGAAGTCTAAAGAACTAAAATGATAAAATTATTGTTTTTAAATAGTCGATCCAAATAGTAACTCGTGATGGAATTATGAGGAATTTGTAAATGAGAATACTTAAGTCACAAATTATATTACATTTATTAAATTAATTATATACAGTAATAAATAAAGAATGTAAACATCAAATGAAATATTATATCGAATTATCCGAACTGTCAGAGTCATCATCAGTACTTTCATCAGTTTAAAGATAAAATAATTTTAAGAAAAAAAATACGCCGACTTCGAAATGCACTAAAAAGTATAAAATAATTTCTATTTCCTAATGAAGTAATTTCTATTTCATTCAATCATACAATTACGTAACAGATAT